GTCCTCTTTTTTTTTTTTTAAATTTACTTTTATATTTTATTTTTAGGTGGACACAATATCTTTATTTTTTATTTTTATGTGGTGCTGAGGATCAAACCCAGTGCCTCATGCATTCTAGATGAGTTCTCTACCACCGAGCCCCAGCTCCAGCCCAAGACCTGTCTTTAAATAAAATTTGAAAAAGGGCTGAGCATGTGCCTCAGTGGTTAAGTCCCTGAGTTCAATCCCTGGTATAAATAAGTAATTAAATATTAAAAACAAACGAATTCTTATACTGCCCCAGAGGTGCCATTTTATTATTTAATCATTAATTCTAAGCATATTTGTTTGTGTCTATGGGGACAAGAGTAAGGGTGGAGAGGTGAGGAGTCTGTGTTGGAAAGTAAAAGATCTCTAACCCGAGAAATTGGAAAGTGCAAACAATTCTGGGACTCATTTCACCCACTTTCCCCAAATTATCTGGAATTTCTTTGGGTATTTATCCTGAAAATGGTGTAAGGAAATGCAGACAAAATTTAAGCCAGAACTAAGAAAAGTTAGACCCTAAAGACAAAAATTTTAAAAAATCATTCTTATTGTCGGGGCACGGTGGTGCACGCTTGTAATCCCAGTGGTTCTGGAGGCTGAGGCAGGAGGATTGCAAGTTCAAAGCCAGCCTCAGCAAGGATGAGGCACTAAGCAACTCAGTGAGACCCTGTCTCTAAATAAAATACAAAGTAGGGCTGGGATGTGGCTCAGTGGTCGAGTGCCCCTGAGTTCAATCCCTGGGACCACCGCCCCCACACACACGCAAAAAAAGATCATTCTTAGCCTACTGTTAATATCCCAAATAGGTAGACTTATAAAACACACTTTATCTACAGATTTCCATGGAAACTGGTATACCAAAGGGAAATTAGAAAGGAGAGAAATTGTTGTGCTGATTCTACGCAAATTAATGTCTGATTTTCATTAGGTTAGCGCTGTTTTCCCCCCAAGGTCTAGGCGTTTATTACCAGCAACAAGCACTCAGTGTCAATTAATCCAGGATACTTTTATTTAAAGGATCCTAACTTATAGGCTTCACTCAACTTCTCTCAATATTGTTTAGTCTTTCATGGTGGAAGTTAAAATATCTTTATCCTAGCTCTGGTTCCACACTGCGGAAGGCCTCGGTCCCCTGTTAGTGAGGAGCCCGTCCCCAGCAGGGCCGTGCCACGGAGACCGGCCTCTAACGTGATGCGAGTTGCCCTACACCTTGGCCGCAGCAGAGGCTGCGCTTCAAAACCGCCCTGGATCGTCAGTTTCGCAACTTGGGCATGCCCTCTCCCTCCCTTTAATACCGAAACCGGCGGAAGAACACAAAAACAAAAACAATAACAAACCCACCCTAAAAGCGAAAAACAAATCCAACAGACATCAAAACCGCACAAATGCCTAGGGAAAGCGCGCCAACCACACAAAGAAAAGGAGGGGGGCTGCTGGGATTCAAAATCGTTTCGCTGAGACGTACACCCCCTGGACCTATCGGAGTTAACTGCGCGCTTGGTCGTAGCCAATAGACGCAGAGTGTCTGGTCCAGGTCCGCCCTGAAGACTGATGGACATTTAGCTAGCCCAATGCCATAGGGTGACGCTAAAGAACCAACCAATACGTTCGGAAGGTGGGTGGAGTGTAGGCCAGGGGGTTGGCGGTGCCGTGTCATGGAGGCTCAGTCTCTGAGCAGCCATTGAAGGGGAAGGAACTGCTGGTGTGTGTGTGTGTGTGCGCGCGTGTGTGTGTGTGCGTGCGTGTGTGTGCGCGCGCGGGTGTGTGGACAAGGAGGTGGGGGCAGCCGAGTTAGAGTCCCAACTCCTTGGACTCCATTTGCTATTCTTTTCTTTCTCCCCCACATCTGTCTGGTGGTAGTGGGCGTTTAAATTTGCGTTTCTTTTCATTCATTTCCAAATCTTTTTAAAATTTCAGGGTTGGGGGGTAGTGGGAAGAGCAGGAAAGGGGAAAGGAGGAGAGTAGGAGCAGAAGAGCAGGAGGAGGACATGGAGATGAAGAAGAGGATTAACATGGAGTTAAGGAACCGAGCC